ATGAGCGCATGTGTGGCACACCTAACAGGGGCTCAACAAAGAGCAAACATGGCTTCAGGTGGAGGGTCTGGCGTTCAAAGCGGTGGACAACCGGCCGAACAAGTGGTCTGTACGCCGGCCTTTGTCTTCCCGGCCACGACTGCATTCCCGGGTAAGCGTTAGCACAGGTGTCACGAGTGGTCGGCCGTCCGTACGGAGCCGTCGACCGTCACAAAGAGTGACACTGTTTTGGGGGTTGAAGTGTAGGGCAATCACTATAACAATGGGGGACTCAATCCAGACATCGCTTCCAATCATTACTTCCAATGCTTTCAAACTTTTATTTCACTATTTTTTGCCTATCCTTTCAAAACGAGTGCAAACTTTTGAAGCAATTTATTTACCGTTTAATCAAATGCTTTTGGTTTGAGATTTTGTTTATTGCTTTTTACACATGAAATGTATGTTTTTGTTTGCGTTAGTGTTTAGTCTTTAGGGCTCTGTTTTGTGCCTCCAATTGATTGATAAGTTTTTGTTGTCTTTGTTTTGCATTTTGTGTGGTTTTGAAGGCTAAACGTTGTGAACATTTCTCGTCAAATGACTATTGAATCTCAAAAACCAATACTTTCTGTACATTTATCTTACGATTTGGACATTCATTGCAAACACTCTCTTATTATCCATAGTATCCACTCATGAGATACACATTCAGATCGTTCGCTAGTTGTCCTCCTCTGTCAAAACAGTTGATCCAATATATTATTGACATTACCATTGATTATCAATTGTTGTGACATTAATTGAGCGACAATTATAAGTGAATTAACGCACAATCAATTGACCATAATGCTTAGTGGTACTAACCTGGATCAACTCTTGAGAGCCGGTATATTCACCATTTGTTATCTAACACTAACTGTCAATCCTTTCCTCTCCATCCCTACCCTTCCCATCAAAATAGCGATTATTTTATTATTTTGATTAAATAAAGGGTTGTTTTGTTAACAATTTGCCAAATATTTAAGCTTTTGATCCAATGGTCGGCTTATTTGATGATTGATTAATCGTATGTATTGTCCGTGTCTTGTGGTGTAGGGTTTGATCCGAGACAACACATCGCAAACTTCATACATCATGTGCCACAACAGCCGACGGCTAACGATATGCTCCACACGAGTAGCGGATCCAAACACTCGTCGTCGCAGTCACAGCACTCACAACACACTAACGTTAAGATCAAACAGCAAAGGAGTCCCGTAACCCAGTCCCAGACGGGTCCCCATCTTCTCACTACAGCCATCGCCTTTCCCGGCAATCCATTGCAACACAACACTCAATCCCAACAACACCTTCAGCCCCAACAACAACAACAGCACGCGATCCTAATCCCGGCCACAGCCGCGTCTTCACAAGTCCGCAACGTTAGCTCCGTTAGCTTCAGCAACAGCACAACGGCTACAGTCTGGCCCTGTCCTGCCTGTAAGATACCCTACAAGAGCGCCAGCGAACTACAGGCCCATCTCAGGTACTGATCCACGCCTTTCTTTGTTCACTAATGTGTTGTCTTATTAATGTCTGAATATGTGAACTGATATCTGATTTGAATTCATCAGTAATCACACGAAACAAGAGAAGAGCGTTCCGTGCAATCAATGCGGAAAGTTGTTCGCCAGCGCCGAGAGGGTACGGATCCACGTGAGGGTCGCTCACGGAGAGAAGTCCTGCTCGTGTGAGATATGCGGCTCCGGCTTCTCCTATCGATGCAAACTACTGGATCACATGCGCACACATACCGGTACTCATCGCCC